GGGAGGAGGAGACGAGGAGGATGAGGACGATGGAGGAGGAGGGAGGAGGAGGAGGAGAAGGAAGGAGGAGAGGAAGGAGGAGGAGGAGGCGGAGGAAGCGACTAGGAGGAGGAGAAGGAGGAGGAGGAGGAGGAGGAGGAGAAGGAAGAGGATGAGGATGAGGATGAGGAGGAGGAATAGGAGGAGGAGGAGGAGGAGGAGGAGGAGGAGGAGGAGGAGGAAGGAGAGAGGAGGGAGGAGGGAGGAGGAGGGAGGAGGGAGGAGAGAGGAGGAGGGAGGAGGAGGGAGGAGGAGGGAGGAGAAAGGAGGAGGAAGGCGGAGTAGGGAGGAGGCAGAGGAAGAGGAAGGATGATGATGATGATGATGATGATGATGATGATGATGATGATGATGATGATGCTGATGATGATGTGAGTGATGGTGATGGTGATGGTGATGGTGATGATTGATGATGATGATGAGATGATGATGATGTGATGATGAGATGGTGAAGCTGATGCTGATGATGGATGAAGATGATGATTGGATGCTGATGTGATGCTGATGCTGATGATGCTGATGATGAATCATGATCATGATGATGATCATGATGATGAGTTGATGATGATGATGATGATGATGAGATGATGCTGATGATGCTGCTGCTGATGATGATGATGATGATGATGATGATGATGTGTGATTGATGATGAATGCGGATGCTGATGTGATGCTGATGATGATGCTGATGCTGGATGATGATGATGGTGATGATTGGTGATGATGGTGATGATGATGATGATGATGATGATGATGATGATGATGATGATGATGATGATGATGATGATGTGAGGATGATGATGATGATGATGATGCTGATGCTGAGCTGATGTGATGCTGATGCTGATGCTGGATGCTGAGGAGGAGGAGGAGGAGGAGGAGGAGGAGGAGGAAGGAGGAGGAGGAGGAGAGAGGAGAGAGGAGGAGAGGAGAGAGGGAGAGAGGAGAAAGGAGAAAGGAGAAAGGAGGAGGGAGAGAGGAGAGAGGAGAGAGTAAAGAGGAGAGAGTACCGAGGAGAGAGGAGAGAGGAGATATGTAGACGAGATGAGAGAGGAGAGAGGGGAGAGGAGTAAGGAGAGAGGATAGACGAAAAGGAGAGAGGATAGAAGAGAGACGAGAGAGGAGAGAGGAGAGAGGAGAGAGGAGAGAGGAGAGAGGGGGGAATGGGGAGTGGAGAGAGGAGAGAGGGGAGAGGAGTGAGGAGGGAGGAGGGAGGAGGGAGGAGGGAGGAGGGAGGGAGGAGAAGGAAGGAGGGAATAGGGAGGAGGAGAAAGAGGAGGAGGAGGAGGGAAGAGGACGAGAAGGAGGAGAAGGAGGAGCAGGAGGAGGAGGAGGAGGAGGAGGAGGAGGAGGAGGAGGAGGAGGAGGGCCCCCCCCCCTCGGAGGGCCGCCCCCGGGGCCCGGCTCCCCCCGCCCAGAGGAGGGCCGGCCCCCGATATATCGGAGAGAGCGCGGCCCGCCCCCTGCCCCCCCGATGCCCGACCAGCGGGCAGGCGAGAGGGCCCCCGACCCCGATCTCTAGGGCTCCTTGGATGGGGTCGCAGGATCGCGCCGCATCGCAAATGCATCGGCAATGCGGCTCGATGTGGAGCCCGATTTTCTCTACGTCGACGGCGCCGAGGCATCGCCGACGTCGCTGGTGCATCGCCAATGCATCACCGATGCATCGGCGATGCGGCGCGATCCTCTGACCCCATCCACTCCGACCCCATCTAGGAGGCCTCTATGATCTCAGTGGAGGAAAACGTACCCATACTGCTACCCTCCGCCCGTCTTCCCCTTTTTGGGCCTCGGAGGCCCTCGTTGCCACCGTTGGATTCGCTTCGAATTTCTAGTCAGAATGCACCCCGGGGGAGAGGTCCGGGGAGTAGCGGTGTCGGTACCTTTCGTTTCCCCCATGATCGGGACTCGGGGTTCAAGAGACGGGGGTCACTGTAAACGGGGGTGCGCCAGGGCGACAGATCTTGCAGGATGCGGCAGAGCCAGGGGTGCATTGACCCGGGCTCGGGCGCAGGATCCTGCAGGATCTTGCAAGGCATGATTGATCAGGGTTTGCATTGACCAGGGTGAGTGGATCCCAGAAGGGCCCTGATTGGGACGATCGAAGTAGGTACATAAATAATGGGCACAAAGACCGACAGCATTCCGGGTTCATTCTGGACAATATTCGTTGCCCATACCGCCGTGGGCGTTGTCCATTTGAGACAGAAGACCGCCTGCCCAGAGTCGGCCGCTGTCGGTTTGGGGCAGCGTTTGTTGTTGGGCATCGTACCCATGTGTTTCCGTACCCATTTGGGGCGTCCAAATTTCAGAGGTCCCATCGAAGGACAAGCAATTACATACATTTCGGTAGCAGATCAAGGGAGATTTCTGTACCTCGCAAGTCCGTCTTTAGAGTGCATTGGCGTCGATTGACGGCTGGTAGTCGATGAGATAGGGTTGAGTAGCGTCGATGTTGCGTCGACTCGCGTCGATTAGCGTCGACTAGCGTCGACTAGCGCCGACTAGCGCCAATTCTCAGCAGCCAGCAATGTAGTATGGGAGGCCAAAAACATTTCTCGGAGGTCCGCGCGGATTTCTTGGATCGGCGCCAGGGGCGGCGCCGTTGTTTCTTCCTCAAGTCCTGGCCTCCCAACAGGCGGCGGCGAGCACGGGGGGAACGTGAGAGGGGGCAGGCCCTCTCAGAAGGCGGTGGGGCTTCTCAGAAGCCCTTTGCGCCTGCTGAGGAGCCGCCTCTGTCTTCGGAAAAGACTCGGAATACTTCTCGGAATACGCGAGGGTTCTGCGAAGCCTCGCTACCTTCCGAGAAGGCCTGCCCCCTCTCATGTTCTGCCGGGCTCGCCGCCGACAGAGGCGTCCCAAGAGTCGGGGACCGGATAATGACATGATTTATGAATTGTCAGAGATCCGCGCAGTTTTCTTACATCGGCGCTGGAGCTTCCTGGCGCCGCCCCTGGCGCGCTCCGCTCGCCAGGGAGGGGTGTCCAGCGCCGATCAAAGAGATCCACGCGGACCTGCGCAAGTGCAGGCTCAGGTGCTTAGCTGTTCCTCGACAGAGGAGGGTGAGGGCTGTGTGCGTGGATGTCATGGCCGAGGCCGATCTCGTGACCCCCCCCTCTGTTTTCAAGACGTTCGCTGTTCCCCCTCGCCCGCGCACATGCCTCGGGCCATGATGCGCTCCCCCGGCCCGCCTCGTTGGCGCACTCCATGAGCATGCGGGCTTCCCAAGCTGGGATCCGAGTGCAGGCAGGACGCTGAGAGCTCTCCAGGGTGACCCCCAGGGGCGCGAAGATGACCGCGCTTCGCGCATCGCGGCCGGGGCCAGGGCGGCTGCCCCTCTCAGAGAGGGCAGCGCGACGGCGCGAAGACGTTGCGGGGGGCGCCTCGCGGGGAGCGGGGCGCAGCGTTGGGCGACCCAGGCAGTGGGCGAGGTACACCGCGCCGCACGTCGCACCGCGCTGCCCAGACCGGATGCGGTGGCCAGCCTTCCTCTCGGTGACGTGCGGCCGCACCGCTTCCGACTCGTCCTTGGCCACGCCTGCCGTGCGCCCCCGGCGAGACCGTGCCCCGCGCGCGTGGACTCCGGCCCTGCAGCGCTGGTATGCTTCCGACCCCGCCGAAGAGCATCGCTCCTGGAGAGCGGGCTCGCCGCCGCCCGGAACACTTGGCCACGTGGCTGAGTGGTGATTGCCACGACAATCGACACGCCGAACGAAGTACCACTTTGGGATCCGTGGGGGCCCGGTTTTCGGGCTGCTCCTCAGATCCGGGTCGGGGGGCCTGTTCGAGGCCGAGGCTCGCCGTGGCCAGAGAGGCCTCGCCGTTCCTGATTCAGCGGCCTTCACGGTGGCACGATGACTGGATGGGGTCGGAGCATCGCGCCGCATCGCCAATGCATCGACGATGCGGTTCGACGTGGATCGCGATTTCCTCCACGCCGACGGCGCCGATGCATCGGCGCCGCCGCCCCATTTTTGGACCCCGTCTGCTCAGATTCCATTGGGAAGGCCTCCAGACTCCGGAGAACGAGCGGCGCTGATGTTGATGTTGGTGCGGCTGGTCCGTAGGGCAGATTCGCGCCGCATTAAGGGCGCACGCTGGCGCAACGCTGGCGCGGGCGTTCAAGGGTGAATGCTGCCAGTTGCCTGGATCGAACAATTTGCGCTATTGGAGAGCCGCGGCTGTTCACGGTCAAGCGGACCATATGTGTCAGAAACCAGCGCCGACGTTTTTGCGACGTGAACTTGTCGTACAGTGCTGGTGGCGGCGGTGGTAGTGACAGTGTTGCTGCTGCTGGCGCAGGTGGATGTGCTCTCGGTGTGATTTGCCCCAAGTTGGACCACCCTGGAGCGATGATGTCGACGAGATCGTGTCAGCGGCGGGCCACTTCCCCAGAGCGCCTGTGGTCGACTATCAAAAACGGCAGAAACATGATTTCTTGGCGCTCTGCGCGGACCTCTTGGATCGGCGCTGCCGGACTCCCTCTGAGCCCCCGTGGGCGGCGCCTCCAGCGCAGCCCCTGGCGCGCTCCGCGCGCCTGGCGGGGTGGTGGTGCAGCGCGCCGATCCCAGGGAACCGCGCGGACCTCCGAGAAACTCCTCCCCCTCCTCTCTCCTCCTCCTCCTCCTCCCCCTCCTCCTCCTCCTCCTCCTCCTCCTCCGCCTCCTCCTCCTCCTCCTCCTCCTCCTCCTCCTCCTCCTCCTCTCCTCCTCCTCCTCCCCCTCCTCCTCCTCATCCTCCCATCCCTCCTCCTCCTCCTCCCATCCTCCTCCTCCTCCTCCTCCTCCTCTCTCCTCCTCCTCCTCCTCCTCCTCCTCTTCCTCCTCCTCTTGCCTCCTCTGGTTCCTCCATCCGGACCCCGTCGGCAGCAGATAAGATGGCCATCGCGGCGGGCTCCGCTTTCGCGGCCCCCTCGAGACCGCACCTCCGGCTAGCGCCCCCTCGCGAGCGCAGCCCCCGAGGGCGACCGCACGAGGAAGCGGGACAAGGCGCCAGCGGCTCCCCGGGGAAGGCACGGGGGCGGCACAGCAGTGGCCCACATTCGGAGAATCGCAAGAACCGAGTTCGCTGGAAGTCGGATTTGCCAGCGCTTTTTGACGAGCCCGTCCTGGAGCTGAAGGTCCAGTTTCCATGGGATGTCTGCGGCTGGAGCTTGCGCCAAATTCCAGATTGGGTCTCGTAATTTTCCTGACGGCCTCGTCAGGCCAACTCGAGTCGCAGGCGATGTTTCTTTCGCATCCCCCGACTTTTCGACGACAAATGAAGCTGCTAAGGAAAGGAGGGGAACCCTGGGATACACCCTCAGGGGGCTATTCGGACGCACCCCTATCGAGGATGGACGCCCCCCCCCCTCGTATATCCCAGGGTTGGGCCCCGACGTCTTGGTCCATTCGACAACCCCACGAAGCCTGGGATAGGGGTCGACATACGGGGGCCGGGCAGCTGGCCCCGCCCAGGAATCTGCCGGCGAACCACGGTTCAGAGGAGTCTCAAGCAGTGGCGAAGCATCCTGGCGTGCCTGTGGGCCCACCACACAATGTTCCAAGAACTTGTTGTGGTTTCTACGAAATGTTCTTACAACATTTCTGGCCGATATAATTTTGTTTTAACACATCGGGCCTATGTTCTACGAGCGCTGTCTTTGCTATTCGAACATTTGTGGGTTCTAAGAACATTTCGTGGTAGGCCTATCGGAATGCTGGGACGGTTTGGCCATGCTCAAGAGTCGGTGGTTCAAGGATGGGGTCTTGAGAGATGGGGCCCCAAGGACGAGGTGCCTCACAAACGCTGCAAATGCACGCTTGGGTCCCTTCCCATCCTTTGGTCACCACATCCCAGGACTCCATCCATCTTTGAGCGACCGAAGGAGGAAGAGGTACCCATACCGCTACGTTTCGCTCGTTTTCCCATTTTTGGGGGGCTCCTGGGGGGCCCTCGTCGCCACCGCTGGATTTGCTTCGAAATTCTGGTCAGAACGCACCACGGGAGAGGTCCGGGGAGTAGCAGCATCGGTACCGTTTGGTCTCCCCAGCGGTTGCCCCTCAAGCTGGAGACACCGAAGCATGGAGAATGTCTTGGCTGGCGGCAGCAGTTTTTCTCGGGCTCGCTGACGTCACGGGTTATCGTAAGCCCCGTTTGCGAGGCCCCGGGGGTGTGGGGAAAAGAGATTGGGTTAAGTTGGGCGTGTCCCCTTAAAGGAGGAATGTTCAAACATCGACAAACACTAGTTTGAGACGTGTATATATATACACATATATTTGAAAAAACATGTTCCACTTTCCGTCGAACATCCCCCTTAGGGGACATGCCCAACCCAGGGATTGGGCGGCCCGACAGGCACAGGCACCCTCGCGTCATGAAGTGATCAAGACGGAAGATGGTTGTCAAGTTTCTGCCTCTGGGTGCCCTGAACAGGCCCAATGATCAAGTCGGGCAAGTCCCTCTGCACGAGGGGTAACCGAGTGCGGGCGATAATACAGCCCACCCCTTAACCCCCTCGATGTTTTTGTTATCCCCGACCACACGGATTTACCTGTGGGGAAGGCGCGGAGGCCGAACCTTATACTCCACGGAAAAGTTGCGGGGATCGAAGTTGCTATCAGATCATGTGGATTAGCAACAGCATCAGAAACGCTGAGCATGGCCATGGTGGTCTCACCACACCAGCCTCCGCAATCACGAGCGTGCGGCAAGTCTATGGGATTCTCACCAGTTGAGTTTGCCCACGTTACGACCGCGCGGCAGGGCCATGGGATTATCATCTGCTTAGCCGTTCCCGAGTCAGGAACGTGTGACAGGGCCATAGGGACCGATTGGATTTTGATTGTGCGTGCGTTTTTTGTTCGAGCAGGCAGAGCATTGGGGTTAAGCGAATTACTTGTAGCGCACACCTCACACGTTTCGTGGCCTTTCCTCTTCCTGCCCCCCCCCCCCCCCCCTTCTGCCCCCGCAGCTGCCCAGGCCCAAGCTTCCCCGAGTCTCCGAGACTCCAGGTTTTCGGGCCTTTTCGAGTCGCCGAGCCTCTTTGCCCCAGGGGCAGCGATGGGGGGGGGGTATGCATGCCTACTGCATCGGCGATGCATCGCCGATGCGTAGGCATTGGGGGGGGGGGGGGGGGAAAATCGACTTGGAATCGGCGAATGCATCGCCGACGCATCGGGCGCGCGTCGCCATGCATCGGCGATGCATCGCCGATTCCAGGTCGATTTGCCCCCCCCCCCCCCCCCCCCCCCCCCCCCCCCCCCCCCCCCACACCCCAATGCGCATTCCCTCGCACAGCCTGGCTGCGTCGTGAGCCCCAGCGACGGCCCAGCCCGCCGAGCGGCGCAGCTGCCGCGAGCCCCCCCCCCCCCCCCCGTCGAGGCGCCGAAGCACGCGGCGGCGCCGCGCCCGAGCTCGAGCGATATTCTCGAGCACATTGCCAGGCGGAACGAGAAGATCCTCGAGAGGCTGTCCTTCATCGCCGAGAAGGCCTCCGTCGCCGAGACGCGCCAGTGCCAGTCGAGTGCGCAAGGCACGGATACAGAAAGGATGACGAGCTGCTACTTCAAGGCCGAGAGCGCCTTGTGCTCGTCGAGCGCCCAGCAAGCCGCGCTCGAGATGGCGCGCCAAGGCGGGTGCTACAAGAGCATCGAGTACGGCCGCATCTTCAACGATAAGGGCAAGAGGCGCATCGAACTGGCCGTGGCGGTGTTCTTCAAGACCTGCGTCGAGAAGAGCGAACGCGCGTGCGACATCTTCGAGAACCGCGGAGGGCCGCCCGAGGACCTCCTGGCTGACGCCGACCTTCAGGGCCAAGCTGCAGGAGCTCGCCAAGAAGAACGACATGGAGCTCGGCGCCGAGAACGTCGAGAAGCTGACCCACGGCCCCCACGCCGAGCGCATCGAGCATGCCCTCCCGCGCGCCCCCGCCGAGCTCATCCACCTCCACGAGCTCGTGCTGCCACCCAGACAGGAAGTTCGAGCCCGCCGAGCACTTGGGCGAGAGGCCCGCCGAGGTTGCCGAGTCGCTCTTCACGGTCATTCCGAGCAGGGCCCGAGATTATGTCAGGCGGTGCAACGAGACCTCCCTGGTGTCGATCGCGTCCGATGTGGCCCCCTAAGGCCACCAGTCAAGCAATCATCAAGCGGTGCTGGTCCATCAAGAAAACCTCCGACATGAGCTACGAGCTGCGCGAGTAGAGCTACCAAGACAAGCGCGCCGAGCGGGACTCCGAAAACCGCCGGGCAGCAGCAGCACGAGCAGGTGCTGCTCGATTGCCACATCGAGCTGCACTTCGACAAGTTAGCGTCGGCCCAGGCCGAGTGCGACGAGCTCACCACGAACGAGCGCGATGACGTGAGGTGCCAGGCCGACACGAAGGCCGAGTCAGAGCCCGCCTCGCCCATGCTCGCGGACGCCTGAGCGCGCGAGCCCCCCGAGACAAGCGCCCCATTTTTTTTTCGCTGCGAGGGCTCCGTTCCGAGGCGCGGGCTCGAGCCCCATCTGCTTTTCAAGCTCCAAGAGAGCGCTCGAGAACGCGCGAGCGACGTCCACGCTGCGGGGCACTACCCCCCCCCCCCCCCTCTCGCCGAGTGAGCCTCGACCAAGCATCAAGGATTCGAGCGGGCTCGATCCTCCATTCTCGGATCGGTGATCCGAGATCTTGTGATCCGAGATCTTGAGTCCGAGCATCTTCGGGCACCTTGGGTCCTAGATCCGATTGTCGCCAAGCTTGGACTCGAAGATCCCGGGTTCGCGATCCGAGGATCGAGGATCGAGCCTCGGCGATCCTCGATCGTCGCGCTGCCATCGAGAACGCTCGATCCCCCATCCTCGGATCGAGGGTCCGAGATCTTGAGTCCGAGCATATTCGACCACCATGGGTCCTAGATACGAGGGTCGCCAAGCTTGGATTCGAAGATCTCGGGCGCGACGCCCGATGCTCGAGGACCGAGCATGAGCGATGGTAGATCGTCCTCGCCGCCGTCCTCGAGCCCACGCTGCCGCCAAACAGGCTCGATCCTCCATCCTCGGATCGAGGATCCGAGATCTTGGTTTTGAGCATCTGCGAACACCTCGGGTCCTAGATCCGAGGGTCGCCAAGCATGGACTGGGAGATCTCGCGTTCGACAACCGAGGCTCGAGGGCCGGGCCTCGGCGATAGCGGGTCGCCCCTCTCGCCGTCCTCGAGCCCGCGCTGCCGCCGAGCAGGCTCGATCCTCCACCCTCGGATCGGGGGTCCGAGATCTTGGTCTTCAGCATCTGTGAGCACCTCGGATCCTAGATCCGAGGGTCGCCAAGCTTGGACAAGAAGATCTCGGCACCGACGTCCGAGGCTCGAGGGCTGAGCCTAGTCGGCGCTCCTCTGGTCGTCCTCGGGCCCACTCTGCCGCCGAGCAGGCTCGATCCTCCGTCCTCGGATCGAGGATCCGAGATCTTGGTCTTGAGCATATGCGAGCACCTCGGATCGTAGATCCGAGGATTGCCAGGCTTAGACTCCACGATCTCGGGCCCTCGATCCGAGGGTCGAGGGCTGAGCCTCGACACCTGGCGGCCACGCGCGCGCACAAACGCGCGCGCGCAAGCGCGCCCGCGCACGCGCGCGCACGCACACGCACGCACGCGCACGCGCAAACGCACGCACGCACGCGCGCACGCACGCACGCACGCACGCACGCAGGCACGCACACACACACACACAACCACACACACACACACTCTCGCACGCTCGCACACTCACGCACACTTACATACACCCACGCCCCCCCCCCCCCCCCCCCACCACACACACACACACGCACACACACACACAAACAACAACACACACACACACACGCGCACACACACGCACACACCCACACCCACCACCACCACCACCACCACCACCACCACCACCACACCACCACCACCACCACCACCGCACACACACACACACGCGCACACACACCACACACACAACACGCGCTCGCACACACACACAAACACAAACACAAACACACACACACA